GTGATGATGGGTTGCTGGGTTTGATGGGTTGCTGGTGGGGCAGGGTGCTGTGTCGGGCAGGGTGCTGGTGGGGCAGGGTGCTGTGTTGGGCAGGGTGCTGCTGCTTCCCCAGCTCTGCTCTTCGCCAGCCGGAGCTGCAAGGCGTGAGCAAACACAGAGCAACACAAGCTGCCACCAGCACCTGCTGCCTCGCCCACCCCCACAGCCTGGGAAAAGGCAGAGGTGGCCTTGATGTCTCCTTCTGGGAACTATTCCACCTTTTATTTGGGGAGCTTCTGACCTCTCCTTCTGGGGACCTTCTGACCTCTTTTGAGGACCATTTGACATTTCCTTCTGGGGAGCAGCTGCCTTCTCCTTCTGGGGAGCATTTGGCTAGCTGGTCTCTTTCACAAGATTCCCAGAGTACACCTGCCATGGCTCTTTGTCCCTTGGCTAATCCAGGCCTCATCCAGGAGGCACAGGCAGGACAGATCACACCCTGTCCCACCAGCTGCCATAGGGTTCAAGCCTTCTGTCAAGTGCAGGCAGGGAGATGAAGCATGTTGCTGCTGCCAGACCCAAGATGGGAGAACCAGGGTGGGTGAGGTCTGGCTAAGGGACTGAGCTCTCTGCTTTCCAAGAAAAGGGGAAAGGAGAGCATTCCTGTGAGAGGGGAGGAGTGCATGCTCCTCTCCCAGGTCACTGGAACGCCTCCCCTCAGTCACTCAGATACCCTAGAGAGGAAGAGGATGGAGTTACAAGGGGCCTGGGAAGCAGATGCGAGCCCTGCCTGCAGAGAAGATAAGCAGTGTGAGCAGGTCCCTTCACTGCTGGCATCTCACTGGTGAGGGCTCCTGCAACGGGTCCTTGGATCACTCTGACAGCCACTGCTCCATCCCAGCATTCTGCTCCTGCATCTCAGCACCCTGCTCTTTCATCCCTGCATCCTGCTCCTCCATCCCCACCCCCTGGAGGTTTCCAACACCTCCTTCCCCCATTCTCTCCCTCCACAGACCCCTGCCCAGCCCTGACTCATGTCCTCTGCAGCACTGAGACACTCCAACTCCGGCCACTTCTCCCTCCTGAAAGCCACAAATGCGTCTGGGCTCCAGCAAGGCCATTTACTCCCCTCCTGTTGTTATTGCAGATGCCAAAAATAAAATAAAATATATTTAAAAAAAAAAAAAGAAACCAAAAAGACCTCATAACATGCAAACTCTGTTCTCTCTCTTCCGGCTGTGCTGCCGATTCACTCCCCAAAGACTTTTTATTTTGTCTTGGCAGGATCCTAATGCATTTCTTCCCTGACAGCCAGACACTGAGTCTCACGGGGAAGGGGGAGGTTTTGCCCCCAGCACCCCAGCAGCCAATGTCTGTGTCGTAAGGAACCTTAAAGATCATCTAGACCAACCCCCTGCCATGGGCAGGGACATCTCCCACTAGACCAGGT